GCCTATTATAGAAAGGAATGACAGTGCCTCGTCAGATTAATAAACAGTATTTTAGTTGCCTAACATGTTTGAAACTACATCATGTATCGTACAACATTTATGTATTTCAAATGGTGCTATTTATGTTCCTGTTTGTACCTGACTCTGTTACATGTGTATTGTGTTTTGTTGTGTGAATGATGGAGGTGTGAATTTTTAAATAACTGCCAGTTATTGCTTTGCCCCACTTTCCAGTGTTCCAACTAGGCAGACATGACCTTTCAGCTTTCTCTATTGATTTTTTTGTTAATTTTAAATTCTTTATTGTGTTATTTTTAGAGTAAGTAGACTCAAAGAGAAACACATTGAAGTGATAATCGTCATTTTTGCGCTGAACAAAAAGAAAGAAAGAAAGAAGGCAGGGACAAAAAGGTCATACATTAGCAAAGCAAAAGAACTCACCAATAGCAGTTTTCGGTATATATTTGGGACAGTTCAATGCAATGTACACATACCTATTGCTTTTGCTTCTTCCTCCATGTCTGCCTTAGCAAATTTTTGTACTTAATTACATTGCATGCTGCTGGTAAGAAAGTGAAAGGGTTATGAGCATCACTATTCAGCTGTTCCTGGTAGTTTGGTGAACTTACCGCATGCATAGTGATTTCTTGTGCCTTTATTATTGTTGGCTGAGCATTTGTTTTTTTATGCCATCTTTTTCCTTTTCATCATGTTTTTCTTAACCATCATTTGTTCATGTACCGTAGTCATATTTGGGTATCGTAGCTGTTTCATATCAACAGCATGATAATTGTCAGAACAATAGCTCAGTTCAGTGTGATGATAAGCTTAGTTGTTTGCACTGTACTGTTGTTAATTTTGGCGTCTTCAAGTGCAATATATGGGTAGTTGTTGCAGTTACTTCGCAATCACTCAGGTGATTTTTAGTTCGCTGTACTTTTTTTTTTTTTTTTTTTTTTTTTTTTTGATCAGTCAATTTTCACACTACATAGTCTTCCCGTTATTGATTTTTTTTTATTATTAGTGTGTGTGCACAAACATACGAAATTGAGTGACTCGTATGATCTGACTCGTATTGTTAAAAGTTTAAAATTACATGAAATTTCGTCATTTGGTAGCTGTTTCACAGTTGCGGAACAGCCGTGATGAGTTTAAAGATCTGAGAAATACAGTGTTTGAATGTGATAAGATTTGTTGAGCTTCCAAAAATGTTGGCGCACATGGGTTGAGAGATAGTTTTAGATGAAGCTGAAGTATTTTGACTAGCGACATGATAATCCGTCATAATCCATCTAATTCTTCTATGTTATGAACTATGAACTGTATTTCAATAGTCATATTATAAAGCAATGCTGGAAGTTTTAGTGTTCTGATGTATAATAATTACAATAAACATGCTGATATTAAACTCTCTGACAGATCAAGTTCTCTTTGAATTATTTATATGTCTACCACTTTGAGTTTGCGTGTTGTGTTGTTGCTCTGACTTGGAGTCTTTATGAAAGGAGGAGTCAGCTTACCCACACCGACAATTTTAGAGATATAATATTAATAGTATAGTAGTTCGTCTTGTGTATTTTTTGTTTTTTTTTAATCTTACAGAAGTCTCAGGAAGCTTGAGAGAGTCCTCCCTCTATGCCTATGTTATATCATAGAACAGTCGACTCCGCTTGTGTTGAACTTTTTTTTTCTATTTATCAGTCAATTTTCACACTACACAGACTAGGCCGTTTTATATTATATGTCATCTTATTAAGAAGATGTAGGTCCTACCAGAAACTCCACCGGAGTTGATCTTAGGTTAAGTTAGTCTTTTTTTCGGGTCCCAGCACCTCTTCTTCTGTATAGTTCAGTTGAACTAAGGATGAGTTTTTCTATTTTTCACTCCCCAATGACATCAACTCATAAGTAGTCAACTGTTTACATGTATATATATGAAAACTGACCTGTGATGTCTCAATTGTGACGTTTCAATGTGATTTAATTTACAAGACTGAAGTTCTAAGGAATGGGCCATGATATGTCTTATACTTAGATCTATACAAAGATCTGTATTAATTATGTAGATCAGTTAGGCCTATTGACGGAGATCAGTGACTACTGCTGCCTGAGGTTGTTTGGAGATGGTTTATTTATAATTCTAGATCTGGGCCTTTTTGTATTTTACGTCATATGATTGAAAAGGGTGTAGGTCCTATCTCCGAGATTGGAGAACGTGGCCAGGGACAGGCAAGGGTGGCATCGACTGCTCTCCGCTCTGTGTACCTGAGGGTACAGGAAAAGAGTTAGTAAGTAACAAATAAGTAGGCCTTTTTATACGCCATCTGATTAAAAAGATGTGGGTCACACCTTGCTGAGAAGACGAACACTCAGGTGTGGTCTGCTGCTTCCTCTTCCTTTCTTCAGTATTATTACTTTAATCTTGGTCGGTTTTGAAAGAATATGGAGTGGGTGGTTGGCGGGTGCTCTTGTGTGGTTTGCTTCTTCTTTCCTTTCAACGTCATTATCTCCCCTTCTTCTTTTTTTGTGTTTGTTACTCTCTTGTAACACCTCTAATCTTCGGCACTTATCATGACCTTACTGTGTTGCAAGTGCCGTAAAACACTACTAAAACAAAGAAATAGGGTCATCAGTGTGCTGTCGGGCCTTAAAGTGCAGTTTAACAACAACAATAACAACAACAGTCACTCTCTCCTGTCCCCCTATATTGTACTGTCAACGCTTTGCTTTATTCCCCCCCCCCCCCCTCTCTAGACCTGATCACACTCACACCCTTGAATCATCGAGCGGACTTGATAAACTCTGACTAATCCGATAGGTTCCCCAGTCCAATTCTTGACGCTGCTTGTCTCAGCTCTGTTATGTCATCGTGCCTTTTGTTATGACTGGAACCCCCTACCTCACACCTCCACCCCTTCTCTCTCTCTCTCTCTCTCTCTCTCTCTCTCTCTCTCTCTCTCTCTCTCTCTCTCTCTCTCTCTCTCTCTCTCTCTCTCTCTCACACACACACACACACACACACACACACACACACACACACACACACACACACACATAAACAAACACTAATTTGTTTCCCATCGAGGAAAGAAAAAAGAAAAAGAGCTGAATGAAAATGAAAGCCGGAAGAGTCACTTAATACACACATGCGCTCGTGTTTGTATCGACAGGAAAAGTGCGTCATCCTAGCAGCTAATCCACCAAGGTTATATTTACACTTGTTTGTGTTGGTCAGCTCTTTTATTTGATGTGTATGTCGTTGTTTTGTTTGGAGGGGAGTGGGCGGGGTTGCCAACGGTTTTACTAGAGTTTCCTGACAGTAGGCCGCCATGTACATATTTAGTGAGTTTACGGCACTTGCTACACTAATAGGTCACATACGTATAAGTGCCGAATTTGAGGAGTTATTAGTGAGCAGCATATAAAGAAAAGGAGGGGAGGTGAGGATGATAGATGTTTGACAGAAAAGAAGGAGCAAACCACATCAGAGTACCCACCAACTTCCCACTTGCGCACGTCCGCGTATAACAGTATGAATGAACATGCTGAGAGGAAATTTCAAAGTTATTTTTGTCTCTTTCGGATTCGGAACACCTAGATTCTACTTAGATCTATTGCACGAAATTTCCGTCAGAACTGAGGTTTTTAAAAACAATTTTAAAATTCAGATGTATTAACAGCGTGAAATCAGGTTGTTTTTTCTCCTTTCTTTTTGTTTTGTTTTGTTTTGTTTTGTTGTTGTTGTTGTTGTTGTTGTTGTTGTTGTTGTTATGCTCGGATTAAATTCAGCCCAGAGACTCCGTTTCGAAAGAAAACTAGATCTATAGCACACAAGATGAAGTGTCAAAATATATCACTGAATTAAAATACATGTATCCTAAACACGTGTTTTGTTTGTTTGTATTTCCTGCACATGTTTAACGCAATAATCTAGGTCTATTAGACTGTATAAGCATTAATAAGTAATTTCGAAGACTGGAGGCTTAGCCCGTGACAAGAGTAAAGAATTAAGAAAAAAAAGACGGTATTTTTACGCCCCCATCCACATAATAGATAATTTAGGAGGCGGGCCTCCAACCCTGCTCGTCAGTCTACCCCAGCTGAGAAGGATACATGAACATCCACCAAGCAGAAAGACCGAGGTACGATCCCACTCGGGAATCAAACTCGGGTCAGCTGCGTGCGACATCGAAGATCCTAACCGCAGCATTACATACGCTGGTAGAGTAGGGGGGGGGGGGGGGGGGGGGTGGGAGCGAAGTGCTCAGAAAAAGTAGTAGAAATACAGTGTACTGGAGAGGATACAGCAGAGTAGTCCCCAGGCCTATCACCTATCATAATAGCTAGGCCTAATTCAAACATAATGTATACTCTTGGGTATCCTCCGCAATGTAACTTAATTAATTAATGTATCAGGTTTCAAGAAGCGATTAAAAGGAAATTAAAAGGAAAAAGTCAAAAAGAAAAGAAAGAGCAACTCGTGCTTTTCAAAGGCTAGATCTAGATCTAGATCTAGGTCTAGTTCGTCTCTTTGGAACAAGACGATGGAAGAGGTCATTTTAAAACAAAATAAAGCTTTTAAAAATAAAATTTGGCAGCCATCTGGTGCACCTGAAAACAAACAATCAATCAACAGACCAAAGTTTTGTTCTCCTAGGTTGAACGATCGGTGTTCTTTCGAGATTAATGTTTATGAATGACTGGAAATAAGGGTTAGGATTTATTCCATAGGAAATGTGTGGATATAACAGAAAGAAGTAGATTTCTAGAGCAGGCGAGCAGTTCATTTTTATGAGATTGTTTTTGTAGCATTCATGATGGAGATAACGAGTGTGAGAAAGCGGGAATTGAGTGGCCTGGTGCAGTGGCGGCGGTAGGTCATTACAAGTAAAACTTTCAGATTAGTTTGAAAGATGAGACGATTATCGGTAGATTTTTAACGAAAGATCGAAAAAGTATTGTTTTAAACTCTTTGTTCCACAAATCTTTCCACGATAAGACCAAAGCTGTCAGTCAAACCTCATGGAGCGATTGCTCCGCCCACAAACCTTTTGCTCGTTTGGGGGTGGGTAGGGTCAGCGATGAACGACATGAGTCATTGGAGGACCTGTTGGAAACGCTGGTTCTAAAAATAGCATACACGGGGGAGTAAAACAGAACAGCGGCCATGTGAAGAAACTTTTAAACATTTTTCCCTGTAAAAATTGTGCAAGGAGTTTTCATTTCAACTTATGAAATGCATACGCTCTAAATTTTTGCACTTAGTTGTCAATTGTACACGATTTTTGACGTGAAATGCCATAATGAATATTTGTTTACAAACTATCGCAACTTTCTCATCGTGCGTCCGGCCAGCACTTGCGCAAAACCGATGCGCAGTAAGCAGCTACGTTGTCTGGATTCTTTGTGTCATACCTAGCATACCAGTTACGAAGTTCCAGAACTCTTGAATTTTCTTGAATTGAATTCAAAACTACTAAAAACACATTCTGGAGGTCTGTAAAGGTTAGTATGTATCAATAATATCGATAGTTTCTTGTAAATCGGCTTCTGTGGGCTATAATATGCAAGGGAATGATCGCAATGTCCATGCGCGGTTCGAATCTCTGAGATGCTTGTCATTCTTGAAGATCGAACTTCCGGATATCACACCTTGCATTTCTTAGGTGCTGCGGACTGTCGGATAACCTTGTGAAATCTTACTCAAGCTTAAGATTTGGTGAATTAGACTTATGAAAATTACTTTGGAAGTATATTACTTGAAAGTGTGACCCAGTTTACGCATGGGAGCAGTGATGGTGAATATGGCTGCTGCAGTTTCCACCAGCCAGGTTAGTTTTCCGGTTTACATGGACTTGGTCCTGCTACTGCAGACTGCAGCTGTTTGTTGGAAAATGAAACAAGCCCAGTACCAAGATCAAGGATTCGTCACCTGTGTTCAATTTCAAATAAAGAAAGAAAGATTGCCTGTATCATTTGTCTCTCTTGTCAGCTTCCTATCAGTGTAATGTAGAGGTAATAGTCGCTAGAATTATTGTTATTATGCTGATCTGATTGTTTTCAGGTAACTCTCTTGCCTAAACACACCTCTTTTATCTTCTTTTTAACTCTAAATTTAAACTTTAGTTTCAAGAGATCTTCATCTGTATGATCTCTTTAAATTAAATCCATATGAAAGTAAGAAATAGATTCCAGATGAGACTAGATCTAGACTCTAGATCTAGAATCTAGATCTAGATCTAGATTCAGTGATGTAAATTCAGTATGGAGGTCTAGATTTCATGAATCTCTGATAAATCTTGTGGTGATTTTCTTACAACTGTATCAGAGTCCAACAGTGCCCCAACCCACGGCCACAGTCCCTCATACAGGTGTTACTGAAAGAAGAGACTGGCCAGTCATCAAAAAACTGTGTCTATTTTACTTTTTTATGAATGATCTCAGCAGATTCGTGTAAATTAGATTCTAGTTAGAGTACTGACCATGGGTTGGGATTCTAAATCTAGATCTAGAGGTCAAGAGTCCAGATTCTAAATCTAGATCTAGTTCATGCCTTCGACTTTTAAAAATCATATCTTGCCAATGTTGTTATCAAGTTTTGTTCCCCTTCCAACTACCAACAAACTTCTACTGAACTGTAAAAATATTCTTTGAGTTCAGACTTTTAAATTCCATCAGCTGAAACGGCGTAGGCTGCTAAATGAAAAGTGACCTGTTACCAAAAGAGGGTGTGTATGGCATTATAATCAATTATTCCATCCGTCCATCTTCCCTGCATTATCCACAACAAAATTTGAACGGAATGAAAATCATTTCTGTGCTTCCTTTCTTTAGAACTTTTTAAGTAACTCGGCTCCTTCTCTTCTTCATTATAATTTGAAAACAGGAGAAAATTGTCACAGATTGTAGTTTTCTCCTCAAAGTTGCAAAAATATCATTGATTGATTGAAATTTAACTTGAGGTGTAATTGCAAGAAAGAAGACACTGAAAGTAACAGTCAGTGTTAAACTTTGGCATTATTCTGTATGACATACGTGCATGTCAGAGAATACTTCACGAAATAATGTATTAAGGTTTTTAACTCGCAGTCATATTTCATTGATTTTCTCCTATGATAAGTAGGTATGTCAAAGAAAATCACAAACTGGCTTGTTTTCCATCAATTAGCATCATTTTGATCCTACTGTACTTGTTTGAATTCCTAGTCGTGGCTTTTAAGCGTGTCCAATCACTTTTTTAAATTATTGGGTGGAAGGGGGCGATGCGTGTCCTCGTCAAAATAATACCTACATTTTCAAACTTGCTCTAATAGCCAGCTATCGGAGACAATAACCTGTACAAGAAACGATCACTGCCCATTTCCCCCTTGCGTTTTAAAAATTAAATATTATGATATATTAATATTGTCCAAGATGCCCACCTGTCAAAGACAACTTTTCTCTTCGATAATAATGGGTGACCGTCTTGGGCAGTTTCAACTGTAGTTATTCTTGAAGAAAATATCATTAAATATGTGTTATAATGTTTCTGAATGGTTAATATATTTATTTAAAAAATAATCTCCTGGCGCTATCAGTGTACAGAACTGATATTGTGAAAACCTCTCTCATATTTGGAGGGGAGGAGGGGGGTGGGGGGAAGGATCAAGTGGAAATTTTTCCTGTGTATTTTTGTAATTTATTTAACGCTTTGCTGCCTCATCTTGCCGATTGGCGATGTTTACCACCCAGTTTCTTCGAATTTCCCCCAAAATATGATGGTAAAGCGTTAAAGGAAAAGGAAAATAAAAGACGTGAAGTGTAGTGAGTAGCATAAAAAACTTTTAATGGGTACCAGAATTTTCTTGTTTTAGGTCTTTTATTATTTCAAATCATACTACGGAAATGGACAGGACGTGGTTGAACTCCCACATAATAAAATTAAAATGTTGTCAATTCAAGGTCAACGAGTCCGCCGTGAATGTACCTCATGCAATGGTGACATCATGATGAATCCTGAGCATCTGTCATAAAAATATTGCTGCCTTCGTGGTGTTCTCCAGAATGCAGGATGGCCGTACAGTACTTCTCTCCAAGTGACAAACTCAATGGGCGCATCCAAGGATCTTCTGAGGACCACTGCCTTTGTTCAAGCAATTAGCTTACTCCAATGATTGAGGGAAAAGTTTACTGAATTTACTTTCTTGATAGAGACAATATTACATAGTAGATTAACTCTGGGGTTAATATCCAATATTAGTAGCTCATATATATAATGTTTGGCATAAAATATTTATTTAAGTTATTATGTAGCAGAGACCAAGTAGCAAACGCAACTGTCTCAGCAGTATCATGTGGAAATGGTTTGTAAATCAGGACAACCTTCTTACTTACATGGTAGGGAAATGGAGGGTGGTTATTGTTGTAAAGTTCATTGTACTTGGTTAATTTATTTATGAGGTACCAGTACCTCTTAACTGTTGAGCCAGCTTACATTTCAAATTGCGGCACATCTTACCTGATTAGCTACTTCCTTGACATCATTAGAAATGAGCCCTCGATAATTTTTGTTGCAAGGTAATGATAGACTATGAACCTTTCTCTTTTAGAAAAATCAAAGATGTCCCTTCCCGATGTTGTTTTTTTGCTATAATTACAGTGCTATCATGAAGGACGATATAATCTGAAAACTCACAGTCACTCATGTCATTATTATTCTTTGTTACTGATTTGGATGTCATGTTTGCTTCCAGAGAGCTTGGTTTGGGGGTTTTTTTTTCTTCTTTTAAGTCAGTTATTTCAGAGAATTCAAAAAGAAATTAAAACCAAAACGTGAAGATTATGATGTGCTGAAGAAATTGTCACTCAACCATCTCTGTTTTGCAGGTGCCGTGTGAGGCATGTCATCCGCATGGAACACTACGGCAGGGGAAAACCCGAACCCAGGTGCTCATGACACTCTCAGCAACTGCAGTGAAGGCAAAGGAAACAATTCCGGGGATGAATTATCAGATGCGGAGGGGGTATGGAGTCCAGACATCGAACAGAGCTTCCAAGAGGCACTTGCCATATATCCACCTTGTGGCAGGCGAAAAATCATCCTATCAGATGAAGGAAAGATGTACGGTGAGTACTGCTTGTTTCTGAAATGAAGTCACCCAACGAAACCCTTTGCTGATTGCTGTAAGGTTGCATCAAAAGGTTTTGGTGTCTTTAGTTTAAACATGCCAAACAGTTATTTGTTGTTCAAAATGATTCACCCTGTTATGAAGAGATTATTTTGTAATACATTTAAATATGAAGAGATGTTTTCTGTTACAGTCAGAGCTATCGAAATATTGTATTCGTGCGTAAATTCTCTTTGGGACTTCCCTGTTTCCAGAGGAAAGTCAACAAAAAAGTCAAATTCCATCCACCCCCTGTGATACTGCATTCTAATATTAACAAGAAAACGCTATGAACGCCATTACCCTTTGTACTCATTTGGGCATTATCAATTAATAAAAAGCAAATCTCTTGCGCAGGTCAGTTTTGTAAATGCGTGGAATTATATGAAATGTTAAGCATTCTGTGCATACTTATCAAAGATATTAAGTCTCTTGTCTTCTGGGTTAAGTCCTCTGCTTCCCGCAGTTTCAAGACAAAAAAGCTAAGACGGAAGTCCACAGTTGTGTTTTACAGTGGAGGGTAATTCAGAATAAGACCAAGATATATTAGTCACGTAAAAGGAGAGGAGCAAACTTCGTGATATTGAAAACAATCACTGTTTTATTTACAACATGCCAATAATGACAATAAGCCCATTGTAGCTCAAAATGTTGCACTATTGTATTGTCTCTAAACTAAGTGTCTGCGTGCACTTTACCAATTC